ATCGGAAAATCCGTTTTTCAATCAAATGCGCGCCGTCAAGTCAATTTCGACCTTTTTATGGTAAGAGCCGTTAAAAGAACCACGTCCAATGCTTACCCTCCGAAAAAGACCATCTCCTCATCACGGGTGAAAGGGATCAAGGTCGTCATAGCACACAGGATTATCAATTTCTCCCATTTCGCAACTCCTCAACTGGCGGGTTTTTCGCATATCGACCGGTCTTTCTCTCCCACCCAATGCCATTCCTCACGTCCGCCCATCTAACAAGTGCTCACCGCAATGTATCAGGAAAATTTCCACTTTGAAGACGATCGGTCGCGCCACAACGGTATGAACGTATCCTTCGGTTGAAGAGCCCCAACGCCAACGTGATAAGCTATTCACATTGAAGTCATAGGCTCATTCTCGTTTTAGCGTCGTAGTGCACACCTCTCGACAAGCACCTTTTGCCACCACTACATTAACACCATGACGATCTCCTCCGTCGTACAGAACGGCTTCTTCCAGGATGGAAACCAACTCATTCGCATCCCTCCACGATCAGCGGAAAAGGTGACGGCAGCTCGACGCCGCGCTCGCCTTGCCCGCGAAAAGTCCAAGAAGCGCATGAACGAGCGCAGTCGACTACTGTGGACCACCGAGGAGCATGAACGGTTCCTCGAAGCTCTGGAAATGTACCCTTCAGGACCGTGGAAGATCATTGCCAACCACGTGGGCACCCGCTCGACAAGACAAGCGATGACTCATGCACAGAAATACCGCCAGAAAATCGAGCGTCGCAAGCAGAAACAGATCAAGTTGAGCGCCGACGCCAGTATGAGCATCGCCCAACTCGACGCCTTGTTCCCGTGTTCACCAACTACCGTTGATAATATCAACTTTACTATCCCGACGGAGACGCCAAAGACAGTTGAGCAGAGCGACGCAGCAGCGGAAATCGATGACGTTGAACACGCATTGACAATGGAGTTTCTGGATGAGTTCCAGCCTCTGACGATCGACTGCGAAGAGCCTCTCACGAGTCTGGAAGGGTTTTCAAATGACGATCCGTTCTGGCTGGATATTGGGGCTATTAGCGCTTCGATCGCTTCTTCAACGGCATCTCAACCGGCCGTGTGGGACAGCGAGACATTCTCGCTCTAATTAAGTTTTTTTTAGGACTAGGACCAAACTCGAGTGCCGAGTTACCAGAATTATCAGTAGACAGTAGAACGCAGTGAAATGCTTTATGAATCAAATCAAGAAGACGTTTGAGCAACCATAATCTAGAATCTTAACACCTGGATTAATTCAAATCTACAGATATAAATCTTGTCGCTACAACGGAGCCGCAGCCTGTTCTAGCTCAATGTGCAGCAGGCGGTTGCTAGCGTCTTTCAGAAGATCGAAGGGGGGTCAAATGACAAGACAACAGTATCTGTGAGAAATGATCGCGTGAGGGGAGCAGCAGCTACTGCTCAAGACGTTCGAGCCATCGCGATGGGGCTGATCTAATTGTCAAGAGCCGATCTATGCGTTCCTCCTTCTTCTTACGGAATCAACAGGAGTTGAACAGCAAGAAAACCCGATAAAGTGGCGTAAAGACATCGTCATTGACTTCGCGAAGGGCGGCGGAGATGACAACATGAGGACGGAGACGTGGCTGCGAAGAAGAGAAGAACTGAAGTTTAGTCCCAAGCACCCTACCCAACTGTGAAGTGGACGCTCAACCAAGTCTTACTACACAAGAGACTGCATAATATTTCAACTACGAACTGGACGAATAAGATGATAACCCATCTGTAGATAATCCAGATCTGGCACCAAGAGCGATACTGCTGTTCGTCGTGATGTTAAGAGTTGAAAAAGCTCTTCCGCTCCCTTCTAGATTCGACCACTTGTCTGAGGAGAGGTTGCTAAAGTTGAATCTGCACGGTGAGAAGATTCGTCTCGAGCTTGACGCCAAACAGAAACACATACAGAATATCTCGAACTAGAAGCCCAAGAGAAAAGTTGACTACTGGCACGGATCTCACACAAGACAGTGATCTTTCCTGCTGGTAGTGATGGCGTGTGGATCGGCGACGACATCATCTCGGATGAATTAACAATGGGTTTTAAGAACCAAGTGACGATGTAAAGAGTAGATCAGGTATCTCCATCGCTGTATTGTTGTGGATTTGGAAGACGCTACAGCCTTTGACTGCATGGAATCTTCATCATAAAATACGCCAACGGATCAAGTACAATGTCTGATGTTCACTGGGTTCGAAGTTGCGGAGAGATCGAATGGATGTGATACGGATTATCAGCGGATTCCGACGGATTTTGTTGTGGTAGACAGTGAAGAACCTGGAAGCGACGGTGATAACACAGTTCGTCTCTTGTCGTACGTCCAAAATTTGCATCCAGAGCAGCACAGATTGGAATAGAACTTCACCAAACTGTACAGTACCCTATATGAGCGTACACTCTCTGATCAACAAGAAGGAATGTTGTTCGCGTCAATATAAACCAAGTATAGTGCAATCGATTTCCATTGTCCTCACGTATCAAGCTGACAAATCTGCCGAAAAGATCGGAGAATATCTCACTTCGCGGCAAACAATTGCACGCTATTGTGAAAAATGCGGGAAAAATAATCGTGATGCGAGTGCCCACACGCCGAAAAATCGTGTCGACAGTCAGTTATAACTTCGGTCGTGAAAATACCAAGGCTGTTCAACTTGTCATTGTGTCAGGGGCGCAAAAGTGAATAGACCTTTCGGCAATGCTCTCTTTGTGCAAGACTGCGGCTCAATCGAAGCCTCTGCCTCGCGTTATGTGGCGTTTGTGAGCGTACTCCAGTACTTGGTCCAGTCGTTCGAGCTGAATGATCCCAGCAGACCTGGAAGCCGCAAGATCCTAGGAGAACAGAATTCCTACGACCTCCGTGAACCGGGTATGGCAGGACAAATCTACACCTAAATTATAGCAGTACTCATCTAGAAGTTTGTGAATTGTGCATTATCGCCTTATCTGTATCGATGTAGAAGGTCACTCCTAGCTATATGTACTCTACACACTCTGCTGCTTCTTGGCGAGCTGGAAGTCCTCCATACCCTGCAGCCACGACGCCACCGTGAGACCTTCGGGGCAGTGCGAGCACACCACGCCCAGCGCACTCACGTCGTGTACATTCTCCACGTCATCGTCATTGAACAGCATGTCCTCGAACTCGACGCCGCTCTGCTCCTTCAGTTGCTTGAAGTGCGTCGTCTTGCTGCCCGGGAACACGGTCACGAAGTCTGCGATGTCACTCAGCGTCTTCTTGGTCAGCTCACCGTCTTCACCGCGCAACTCCACGTCCATCAGAGTCAGAACCTTCTTGGCCGTCTCGATCTCCTCGGTACGTGACGCCACGCCGATCTTCGTGTTACGGAACTGAGGGTCCGTCTTCAACACACTCAACACCGCGTGGATCTCCGGGTAGAAGTGAACTTGCCAACCAATAGCGTCTGTGACGTCACCCGTGACCGGGTCCTTAGCGATCTTCTCGTTGTGCAGCTCGTCCATGGCCGGGAACCACATAGTGAAGTCAAGGTCGAAGACCACGAGCTGCGGAATGTAGGTCCATTTCCGGAAGACCTGGGTAGCGAAGTCCGGGTCCTTGCTCTCAGTAGAGCGGTTCTTTCCCGGAACAAGAGCCTTCGGCATAATGTTTGACTTGGTTTAGTTGTTGTGCTTTCAAAGTAAATTGTAGAATGAGCTTTTCGTGCGAGGAATAGAGAGCTTATGGCACTCTTTTGAAGGTCTTTTCTATCACCAAGGGCTTATGCAGTTGCCAGAAGATCGCAAAACCTCTCCCCACATCATAATCGATTGCTCACACCATAAGGAATGCGGCGAATGGAGGGAGATTCACGGCGGGCAGCGCATGATGCAGCGTCGTCACCGCAGTGGACACACGTCCCCCGCCTCGTGGTGTTCGATCTCGACTACACGCTCTGGTGTCCGTACATCGACGTGTTGAGTGGCGGTCCGTTCACCAAGACGGAAGACCCGGGGACGGTCCTCGATCGCTATGGGGAGGAGCTGAGTTTACTGCCAGACGTGCAGAAGGTGCTCAATATCCTTGAGATGGATCCTCAGTTCGAAGGGACGAAAGTCGCCATTGCTTCGCGTACAGGGGAGATCGAGGCAGCGAAGGAATGTATGCGGCTGATTGAGGTGGATATTAAGGGAGAGGTAAAGACTTTGAGCGACATTGCGAGCTTTGTGGAGATCTACCCGACTTGTAAAATTGCGCACTTTAAAAAGTTCCTACAGCAGAGTGGAGTGGCGTACGAGGACATGCTCTTCTTCGACGACGAGTATCGTAATATACAGGATGTGGCGAGGCTGGGAGTCACGTGTCAATACTGCCAAGACGGAGTCACTTGGAACTCGTGGCTGGAAGGGATACAGGCTTACCAACAAGCGAAGCTAAAATAAATTTGACGATATGTGTAGGCTTCATCAGCAGTGCTACACTAAATGAAAAATGTGTTTACAGAGAGAAAAGTAGCGAGAATTAGCCGAACGTGTCTTCGAATTGAAAACCCACGTGGCATCTTAGACCGAATATCCCCAAACATTTCGCCAGGAAGAGTCGGAAGCTGTTGGCTCGCGAGGCTACATGTTTGCTGGATCCATTCTCGCTGTTGTGATGAGAAAATTGCAGTTGAACCGATATAATGCTCGGGATTAACCAGAAGAAAACCAAAATTATACGAACTTACTACTGTAGGATGTGCATGTTTGGAGGTTGGACTGGGTGCCGTCTGGTAGTATGGCGGGTCTTCGACCTGACACAAAAAGATAGTCCGGAAATCTTTAATATTTTCACACACAATATACTACTTACTTCGGAATATATACTTCGAAGCACCAGTTAGCTTCAATATGCAACGAACCACCTTCATTCTCTAAATTTTCAGGTGTGAGAAAGATCTTGGCAATTTCACAATGACTCGAAACGCTTTGCCCCGTATCGTCACATCGTTTTTTTTTTCGCTTGACCGCGTCGGGGACTCTAGGACGTCGTTGTAGTTGTTGCCACGAACCTTGAGTTACCACTTCGACGACCAGCAGTACACGGAAGCGTGCCAGCGACTTAGCAGACATTCGTTCAAATAGAAGTACAAGCTTGCAAATATTTTTTTTCAATTTCATCGAAAAGATCTTATGCTGTTCTGGTTGTAATTTAGTGAGCTGCAATGTCACCGTCACTTCCAGGTTCTCCATTCAACATCCGTCGGAATCCACTGAAAGTTCATGTTAAATCCATCCGGTTTCCCCGCGACTTCAGATCCAGTGTATTAAACATGCATTTATTGTGCCTTTCACTTGTTTTGGCGGGTAGAGTGTTGATTCGGGCGGAACTAGATCCATAAAAATACTACGTAGACGTGTTAAATGATGTAGGGTCAAACGCTGTCGAAGCTTGTAGTGTCCAGTCAAAACATACACCAGAACAGCGATGAATGCACCAGATCTAAAACTTGTTTTATATTGTGTGGATGCCAACCTTTCTTATTGTCTGATGCATTTTCCAGCACTACCACTGCGTTCTTAAACGTCGTTGCCAGTTCACCCGTTATGACGTTGCCGCTTATCCATCCGCCATTTGAGCTGAAGTAGACAATCAGTACCCCAGCAAGCCGATCAGAAGAGCGTCTTCAACACTCACACCGTGTCCAACTGCAGTACAAACTAATGGTGAGTTACTTACGAGCGTGGAGACAGCCCTGGGCCCTTATCATAACGCGTCATAGCGATTGCATCTCCAGTGTTCCTCATTGACCATTGAAATTGTACTTGGTTGGATACCAATTTCACACTGGGATACGACTGTTGCGACTTTATGGCCTTGTGTCAATATACATAGCCTCTCCTCTTGGTTAAAGCTTCTTCAGTTTTTACCTCTATCTCTTCTTCTTTCATCTTCTTCAGACCCCATATCGCACCATTCCTCCTCTAATTCAATGTGGTACCATTAAGCCATTGGTTTAGCTTTTTTCTCGAAGCTGTCACGTTGGTGCCGTAAATAAACGAGCTTATGCAGCAGTTCTTGGCCGTGATTCTAAATCGGCAGCGATTGCTCAAGCGATTCAAGAAAAAAACTGTCGCTTCATTTCGTTCATCCATTCCTTGCAGTAATGCATTAGAAATAAGAATCCTTGTAGCTTTCTGATAAAAAAAAGTTTAGTGAAGGAACGAGGCGGAGCCTTCGATTATTTGTTTTTTAGAGCTGTGCGTTTCTTTTTCTAATCGAAAAGTAATACTTCAGTAATAGTAAGTCCGGCAGTAACCATCTCGCTCTTGACAAGGGGGCTCGTTGGCGAGTCACCAATGGTGACCAATTCTAACCCCATCTATTGCCTGTACTTACCACACGTGACACTTTTTGGCCGGGTTCATGTTGGTGCCGGCCTTGCACCCGAACGTGGTCGCAAACGCGTCCGAGTTCATCATGGGCACATTGACGCTGAACTCGGGGACTCCATTCTCGAGCTGATCCTTCAGCCACTCGTCCGTACCCTTGTAGCAAGAGGTCTGGGCGAACGACAAATAGTAGAGCTTGTCCACTTCGTCCGCGCTAACACCGTTCGTCGGGAAAGATGGATTCTTCTTCATCCAGTCGTGAAGTGCTACGAGAGCCAAGTTCACAGCGTTGTTGATAACCACATTATTCTCTACCGTCGCGCTGCCGTCCTCGTGGCCCAACGGTTTGCCGTTGCTGTCATAGAGCACCTGTGCGCTGTACTGGTCGCTCATGCACTGCGCGCGCGAGCTGTATGCGGCGTTGTCCTTTTCCGAGAACCAGTCGCGCTGGTGGCCGAACTGGTCCACTTGGCGGCCAAACACGCTAACTGGTTTAGTTAAGTCTCCCGCGATCAACGTGCCAGTCGAACCAAAGTTCTGTGCCGGGTGCTGCTTGAGGTTGAAGAAAGGCTGCTGCAAAATGCCCACCGTGTACTGGGCACTGTTCTGGAAGAGCAGGAAGAACGTGGTAACATCGGCAGGGTGGAGGGTCCACATTTGCTGGTCCGGCTGCTTGCCGACATTGGCAAAGTAGTCGTTGTGAAAGTTCCAAGTCTTGAGCGCGATGACGTTGTCAAAAAATGTGGTGGCCTGGACCTTCACTGGCGGGGTGGAATATTGCGGGGATTTGCCAAAAAGCGTCACGACCCGACCCACTTTGGCTATCGCCTCCTTGCGCGTCGACGCGTCAAGCCACGTCGCGTTCTTGAGCTCGGTTTGCATCGCCTGCTTGATGAGGGCCGCCATATTTTGCAAGTATGCGCGGCGGTCGTCGCTGAAGTATTGGGCGTAGATGTACTGGGTGGCCAGATGCGGCATCCGATCGATCACGTCTTTCTTGCAAAAAGAATCGCGGCTGTCCGGCACATAGTTAAAATAGTCAGCGTCATTCTTCCTGATCGCGTCGTTCAGGAACTGCTGGTTGCCGTGCACGTCGATAAATGTGTAGAAGAGTTTGAGATTCTCGAGCGAGAGCGACCCCCAAAGCTCTTTCTCGACACGGTCCATCCACTTCAAAGAGTTAAAGTTTACGTCCCACTTCGGGTTCATCTTCAGTCCGGTGCCCTCGATCATGCCCTTGTATGACAGTGGATAACGCTTCAGCGCCTCGCTGTGCGACAATGTAGTGTCATCGTTGTTGAGCTCATCGTCGGTCGGTCGGAGATCGACCGTCTTCTTGTACGTATCGATGATCATGTCAGCAGCCGCGGTCATGTTGACGCTCTTGCCACTTGATGTCTTAACACCCGCAAGATCTAGCGCCTTACCAATGTACTCACGCATACGTGGACGCTCGGCACTCAGCTTGGTGGGATCCAGGAAGACTCCCTGATCGAACGGCAGCTGGAGGTTTTCTATGACCAGTTCTAGGTCGGACGGCGCTCCACCAAAGCCGGTGGTCGCATCGACAAACATCCACGATGAGCTGGTCGCGAGCTCTCCAACGAGATGAGCCAGCTCGGGCTTAGTTTGGGTGGCGTCGATGCGCTGAAGTCGGCGCTGGAGTGGCTTGTTCCCGAGCGCGTTGATGGTATTAGTGTCCATACACGACGCGTAGTAGTCAGAGAGGACCGGTAGATTCTTCTCGGCGAGAACGGCCGTGAACATGGCTTCAGCCTTATTCTGGAGATCGTCCCAGCCGTATGCAGCGCGGCGTTTACCCTGCGGAATGGTGGCCGTCTTGTTAAACTGCCCACATGCGTATTGATAGAAATTAGTACACGGGTCCACAGTCGTGTCGATCAACGCCGCGACTTCCTTTGGCAGAGCAGCATCGGCTGCGTTGTGAGCGAGGGCGAGCAGCAGTCCAAGGCCAGCGGGAGCGAACAACTTCATTGTAACGGGGTTTGAACCGTTCCAGACGTACGAGTAGCAAGTAGGTAGTAAATTGTACTCTGATAAAGCAGGATGGTGGGGGACTCGAAACGTCGAGCGCCACGCCCAACTACAGTACATGTAGTGCTGATTAGTCACGGTTACCAACGGGGTCCTTTCAATTCCGTCCGTAATCGAGACTAATCAATAGGAACTGAGACGAGTTATGGATTCCGCATTACACACTGTACGATTATGGTATGCCTAAAAATAACGGCAATTTAAGCCAACCACAATACTTTTAAGCCCAGGGCTTGCTCTCGATCCCCCGACAACTTTACGCCTGTTTATAGCACACTGATCAAGTCATTATAACACCGGTTGGAGATTTTAGATTCGAGTTTACTCCGATTTCGTCGTTTCCCCTTTTGAAATGACCATATGTTACCGCTTCATACAGCAACAACTACCGACCCACTTCATCAAGGATTATACGGTTGTGGCGATTATGAAGGTGTTTATGCAGTGGTGTTGCTTACGGGGCCGTTTACGCGGTTCCTAGGATGACGCGGCACAAACTCCAAGTGTACTAGAGGCCCCTAGTGCAATGCATGTAGGAGGACTAGCACAGAAGTCCTGCTTTCGTTGCTCATTAATAAATTTGCTACTTCGACAACAATCCGGATATCGCGATAAAAGTTTTGAATTTCGGACGGCGTGCGACTCGCAATTTTACCCTCGCAGTGCGAGGGTAAAATAAAAACTCTTCCGAAATGACTTGATCGGTGTTCTATAGATTTGTTGAAAGCACATGATGATTCGGACGGAGTAAAGTCTGTCAACGCGGTCTTTAAAATATACGCGATTTGGTCATTTTATCGAATTTGAAGGTCCTCAAATTCGTGTTGTCGCTACCGTACCGTAAACCACGGCCCCAGTGTTACACGTAATACCAGTATACACGGCGCTAGAGTTACTTACAGTACATAGTAAAAACTATCGAATCGAGAAAGAAAACGTGTGGTTGTGGGAGTACTTGTACAGACGATCCCCTCGGTAGTCATCGCGCTGGGAACACCCCCCATTTATTCCTGTCTAAGGGTAGTCCTATCTAAAAATGGACCCGAATGCTTTTTATTTGGGACAGTGCACCGCATCCAGTAGTGGAAACGATTGGCTAAGCTCGTAGCTGGCGTTTCACTATGGGTATATCTTCCATTTTTAGTTTTGACTCACCGCACCTAGATGCCCTCCTCTCCAGCCCAGCCGGTTCGACTCACACTCACTAACGCTCAACGACTACAAATATGCCAACACCACGCTCAAACCCCCACTCTGTCCCAAAAAGAGCTTGCGTTATGGGCTCAGAAAATCTACGACCTTCCTCTGGTTCCATCACTAGCAATGATATCAAAGATGTTGAAGCGCAAAAAAGCGTTGGAGTCCCTTCCGGTGTCGCAGTTGGACACGAAATTGCGGCATGTGGTTTGCCATCCTGAACTCGATCAGTCCCTAGCGAGTTGGGTCTCCTGATGTGAAGGGAAGGGTGTTACTGTCGCAGGTGAGGCAATAAGAGTGAGGGCAGAGCTCTTTTCTACGATCCCAAAGCTCGAGTCTCAGCCTAAGTGGTCAAATGGATGGCTTCATCGGTTCAACATTCGACACGGATTTGGCAGCAAGAACGCTCATGGTGAGAGCGGCTCGGTGGTGGATGCTCCAATTACAGAATTAGCGTCAAATGAATAACTTTGAGTTGCGTAATTTTTTTTAACATGGATGAGACGGGGTTGTTTTATTCCATGCCTCTGGACCGAATTCTCGCCCAAAGCGTCTTAGCGGCAAAAAGAAAGACAAAACGCGCATGATGATCGCGTTTGCATGCAATGTGGACGGATTGGAACGCTTGCCTCTACTTTATAGGCAAGTCCAAGAAGCCGCGGGGCGTAAAGAAGGACACAGTTTTCGAACTAAACTACACGAACAGCATCAAGGCTTGGATGACGCGCCCCATTTTCTCCAATGGCTCAACGAGCTTAACTGCACGCTTCGTTCGCAGCACAGAAAACGCCTACTGCTCCCCGATAGCGCCACAGTTCACGGAGGCTTCAATGCAGCTTCCCTGACTAATGTGACGGTTGCTTTCTTCCGCCCAACACTACCAGAAAACTACAACCGCTGCAGCGCTTAAGAAACGTTCTAGGCGCCGCCAAATTCAACACACGCTGGGCAAAATGGAAGCCGACCCGGTGATGGACGTCAGCTCGGCTGCCAAACAGCACAAGGCAGGGTCTCGGCAGGCCATTCTTGTAGTATTACTTGCTGGAACGCTATGTCACCGTCCCTCTTCGCTAGGTTATGGAAGCACACAGGGCTTGTAGACTACTACAACTGCGTCTACGAAGAACCAGACGAAGATGATGCAATGTCCGGCTGAGCTCGCGACAATGTAATCTCACCTGCACGCTAAGGATCCAATGTCCGTGGACAGTTGTTAGTGTTCATTCTTGAAGTTGGGCGGTGTGCTAGGAGTAAATCAAAGGGGAAATTCCAATCGGGGACTCGCTTTTTACCAAACCTAGTAAATATGCTAAACTTGATTATTTGTGTTAGACGGCCCCAGCCCGATTCACGGGCAAGATGCTACAGAAGCTGGACTTATCTCCACTTCCCGTCCGCGCTAGCACATTGAACGATCATGCTAGCGTGTAGTCAACTAAGCCCTTGAAAGTAGATTGCGAAGTGAGTTCATTGAAAGCAAACGATTCTCGTTCCTACTTCCTACTTTTCCTGTCTTCACTGGCGCCGCGCTCGTGACAGCACTCGCCACCAGTCATTGCTTCTTGATTATAAATGCCATTATTGACGCGGCGCAGATGTAGGTTATGCAGTCGAGGTGATGATGCGGCCTTCGCGGTGCTTGTCGTTGTCGGTCAATCATCATCCTCCATGATGATGCGGCAGCAGGCTGCACACTAAGTGCCTTCAACGCTACATAGAGGGACGAAAAAGCAGGAACACAAGATTGTAGAAATGCAGTGACTTGCGTATGATGAGAAGGCCAGACTACGCGCTGGAGAACTAGACTCCCGTGTGATCTAAGACGCTGCTACTATCATGGATGGTACACTCGGCGCCACGCTGTTTCGCAAATTCTGTGAGCGCTACGGAGAGCGCGATTGTCGGTAACGTCATAATCTACGGTGGTGTGGCCTACTTCTATGAAAACACAGGTCAGCGATTGAGCGTAACTCTGCCGTCAAACTTGATGCCGTCAGAGAGCGAGTGCTGTAAAGAAAAGCACTATAGATATAAATATCGTCAAAATAGAGGTGACACCTTGTCGAGATACAAAGATATTTTTTCGCGACTAAAACTTACGTTTAGTGAATTAAAAAATGCGGTACCGGTATTAAGTGATAGTAAATTGTGGGAGGAGAGTCCTGCTTCATATTTTGATCTGCAAGATGCTTGGTTGTGGCCGTCGGCTAATCCCATTTGTTAGACGCGTATACTTTCTGACTCTTCCGCTTTCTCCCTTAGAGCGGATACGTCGCTGACATGTAACAACTGAAAATCTGACTCACATCAACTGCGCAGGGACTGCAAAACCTTCAGTGCAACAATTTGCGCAGACATCAATGTTCAGCTTCAGTTCCTTTTCAACACAAATGCTGAAAACTTGGAGGAGCGAAGCGAGCAGGCCTTTGATAGTGGACGAATATCCAAGGAGGTCACACACGCTCTGGTGGCATGGTAACACCCTCCTCAGTGAATTTCTTGACAGGATGGCGCCTCTCCGAACTGCCAAAAACTTTTTAGAAAGTCGAGATCGAAGTAATATTTTGATTCACGTAGACGATCAAATTCCTCCTCCAGAATTGACATCGGTCACGCCGCTGGCTCTGCTTGCTCGTTTGGGCCCCGTACATCCTCCACAGCCAGGCGAAATTGCCCTACACCCGGCATCTTAATAATTAGTGGCGGAGTACACCAGCGACTAACTAGGTTTCTGTAACACAGACCTGGATCAAGGAGCTGCTGGATGTGACGGGCCAAAACTTCGCGATGCTCTTGACAAAAACGACGGGTTCGACAGCGCACAGGCTTCGCTCCCGGTTTCAATTTAATCGTTATCGACATATTCACGGGTGGGTTACTACACAATTTTAGTGCAAATGCACTCTCCTTCTCTGCCAGCAGAACTTCGAGGTCGTCAATATACGTGGGTGGCGCTTGCTGAGATAATGACCTCCTGCACACGCTCACGAAGTACCGCTCTACATCTTCCTCATCCACGGACTTATCATCAGCTGTGGACACAGGCAACGGCCTTCCTCTTCAAGTTCTGCCAGATCATCTTCTTCTGGAGACAACCGCAATGTAGCCACGGCCCACCAAAACCGTATTGTTTGGCATGCGCCAATAACTACACTGGATCGTAACCAAGGCGAGCGACAGCATTTTCTGCTAGTAGCACATCACTCACCTCTTCTGGAAGTAGTCCGACCCAGCGCGGTGCGTGCCACAGTACCAGTGGGCCTCCCTTTGTAGCAAGCTTGAAGTCCAAGTCCAATTCTTCGTGGACAAGAACGCCACACCTTTAATCAAACCGGGTTCGTCAAAATACACTTCTTCAGTGGTATTCCCGCCATTTGAGATTTGCGAAAAGATCCCGCAAAATTGAGGTCATCTCTGCCACTGTCTAGCGGGACAAGCGTATCCACATTGCCCTGCGTCTTCACAGGAATTGGAGAGCACCTCATGTTTTGGTTGTCACTTGTAATGACACCAATCGGGACCTCCCAAATTACCTTCCGGCCAGTATGTAGTTCCTATAACGCATTGATTCCTGCTCATCTACCACTTGTGGACACTGAAATACACAATGTGTCGGATCGCGGCATTTAAAGCACTCACGGATCTTTGGGGATACGTGTTGCTTTGAAGGCGAGACTTTGGCTTCGATAACTCGAGCTTAAGACCCGCGTCATGCCGATTGGTGCGCGTCTTGTAGCTGGATCATCGCCATTTGCGCGTTTAAGACCTGTACGTGGCTGACGATTAATTTGCTGGGAATCTGCTTCGATTTACGCTGGGATAGCGTTGCTGCCTGAATACGAATCTCAAACTACTCCAGTCGGGGATTTAGCCATCCCAGAATCTTCTGTACGTCTCGTTTGACTGGCTTATACTCCAGACGAGCTAAGTCTTCCTTAATCGATGGCTTTAAGTCCTGTGATCTAAGCGCATTGGACAGATATTCTACAACAGTTTTGAGATCCTCGTGAATAATATCCTCCATGTTCAGATCGTCAAGTACCTGGTAGAAATCAGCCAACAGCCTGGAAAGTCGAGATGTAGTGTCGTGGAGCTCCAAGTTCATAACCAGCGGTTTTACCGCCAGCTGTAGTTTCGTATAAGCTGTCACGTCAGGCTTCCGTGCTTCCAGAAATAAGCTTTTCAATCATTTTCCGTGACATCACTCACGTTCTTGGAAAACTCAAAACGGCAGACCCGAATCAAGGTTGCCTGTTCAATACACGCACTTAGCAGCATGGTAAACACCCGCGTCTTAGCACCTTGGTTCAATGCATCGACGCGCCGCTTGTATATCATGTAACTGTCCATAAACTCCCGTTTCTCATTCTTCGTACTACCGCGATACGTCGGATGCACAGATGTGTTTGCTTAGTAGCTAACATCATCGAGGTTTCCTGAACGGTTGCACTAGCGCTACTTTCGGACTTGACTTCTCTACCGATCCAGCGAAAAGTCTTCACCGCGCTTCAATATGCGGACGGACACCCTCTGTAAGATCTTCAAGCTGTCGCTCTTGACAGCCCATTGCCGCCTCGGCTGCTGCAGCAGGTACTGGCGTTGATTCTCCATCTGCTTCTCAATATCCTTCCGCTGCTTCTGTAGCTTCAACTGCTGGTCGTACCGGGTTTGAAGGTATTCGGACGTACTAGCAGCAATTTCGCTTTGCTGCTTCCGGACTTGGTCGATCTGCTCATTCACAGTGTGATGAACCGCCGCCGAGCGACGGTCGAGCTCGTGTATCTGTTGCTTGGTCTTGTTGTCAGTTTGTCCTCGTTGAACCAACATTCTACGGGTGGTTTCTTGTGCTACCACGACTCCTTCTCCACTCGGACTTGGTATCATCGCAGCGATTGCGACAACCGCCAAGCGAGGATCGGTTCCCCTTTGTTGTCGAAGTCGAGCTTCGTGGTCAGAGGAGCTAAAGAATTATTTGTTCGTAGAAGTGATAGTATATGCACTTTTAGCATCTAATGAGCTAGCAAAACCTGACTCTTTCCATCCGTCGGGATTTTTGCAACTCCCGCATGACTGTAACTTCTCTTATTAAGGCTCCGCTAAAGTTGCAGCTACCCGGCAACCGTGTAACACCCGATCCGGATCCCAGGAAAAAGTGTGTACTTGGCTGAGCACATGTCGGCCGAACTGGGCAGCCAATGACGCTCGTCCTGATTGCATCCAACACGATGGCGTCGAATTCATTAGTGTCGTGGTAGCTTAGCGCTAAAAAATCGGCGATGAGTAGGGTATCATCTTTATCACTAAGAACAGTATACTTCGCGATTGCATACCACCGATTTGTGATGTCTTCCAATTGTGTCGAAATCATGTGATCTTCACCCGATGATGAGGTTGAAGTTCAACTACCATAAAATCGTAATACTCGTTTTGGTGAGGTGACGTTTAGATTCGCGTTCCTCGTCTAAATCCCAATCCCAATCTGAGCGTAGAATTATTCAGTCTCGAAAGCTCTGATTTGTTCATCTATTCCTCGCAAATCACGGTGTCTGGGGGTGCCTGCTACTGCATTAAAATTTTTTCGATATTTTCTGATAAAATATTTAAACTGAGACAGGGGCAACGAGATTTATTGTACGCACTGGTATATCGACATCGTATCGGCGCCAAAACAGGACTTAAGTGTACCCGCTAGTATACTGATATCATGCGCGCCAAAAAGAAGTATGTTTCTTAATGCCAATAGGATTTTTCTTCAATAATAATATTTTAACAGTCACAAGAAGTCCTATTGGTTGGGAGTCGGATAGGGCTCGGACAATATATATTGAATATGGTTTGTCGGCGAGGAGACCTTCACAATCAATATTGTCACACTTACGATAATACTGTCTATATGTTGCAATATACGGATATAACTGTGCAGCTGTTCCTTGTTTTTAATAATATAGAGTACATGACATACCGTATAGAGGCTTTAGCGTTTCTAGACATAAAATAGACCCCCCCCCCCCCCGAGAGTAGGTTCTCACTCTTGTTCTTTATCGCGCTTTCAGCCGAAGACCATCTTTCCTGACTCCTCCTCCTTCCAAAACCCGCTACCATGCCATTAAAGTCGCACTCTGTTCCACAGGGTCCAAAGCTGAAGTTCAGAGACATCGTTGAGACGATGTTCAGGGATCCCTCGGACTTTGACCACACGTGCAGCGCATGCAGCGGCTTTGTGAGGCAGGTTACACAAAGTTTGATCAACCATCTTGCATTTAAGCATTCGGGATACGGTGAAGTAGTCAGGCAATGCGTTCTTAAGACGCGTTCCGTGACTATGGACATGTTTGTAGATCAACATGCAGCACAGCTGCTGTGCGTTCTCTGTAAACCTGTGGTTCCTGCAAAAAAACTGCCAAACAACGTAAAACTACGGCTTACACAGCCGTCTCGGCGGCACCGTCGACTGCAGTCAGTGCCGAGGAGCCTCAGCGAAAACGGCGATGGACAACAGAAGAGTTCAAAAGCGCAATAAATGAATGTGCGATTTAAGAGAAAACGCACGCTATATATATTGAAATCTCGTGGCTACCCGCTACGTCCTTCGAAGTTGAGCGACTCTTCTCAACTTTGAAATATATGCTTGGAAATCTGAGGAAGAGTATGAGTGCAGAAACACTGAAGACCATCTTGTTCCTGCGCCTTAATTGGGACCTTGTCACAAACGAAGTCACGTCGAAGGCAGTTCAGAACGCCAGAGAAGATGATACTTATTGGTAATGAAGAGGAGTGCGACGGATGCGAATAGTATGCCTTCTAGAGCAATATTGAGCACTTTCCAGTGGAGATTGTCAAGGTCTTCACAATCAAAATTGTTGCAATACAATATTTACAATTATACTGTATACACACTTTTTTTTTCTTCCGTAGCGTACCGTGAGTCACATTAGCAGTAACATTGATTCGATTGGGCTCATAGTCAATTTGCGGCTTTTGGCGAGAGGTGGAGCGTAGGTTCCAGCGAACGTTGGGCGGGTATGATTTAGGTTGCTAGTGAAGAGGAAGGCTGAATAATAATAACATATCGGAGAAGGAGTAGCGTTGGCGCTAAGTTGGGCCTTTGAACAGTAATAACCCTTATTAGGCATTTAATAAGGACCTTTAAAACCTTAATAAGGGCCACAGATAACACGTGCTTCTAAATTTGAGTGCGCACTTAATGCCTCCATTTGTAACAGCATTTAAGTTCGTATCAGTGCACGAAGCTCACGCCTCTTCTTGTCGCTATGCCCCGTGCCAAGGCCAAGATGAAGCTAAGGGCAAAGCGCGCCACGAGCAAGACGCCCGGGCCTAGCTCAAGGACACACACGACTTTCCGCAAATGGGATCATGTTCCTCGTCTCGTGGTATTCGATCTGGACTTCACGTTGTGGTACCCTGAGATGTACGAGCTGTGGGGAGCTCCGTTCAAGAAGAATCCCACAACGGGGGTCGTTACGGACTGCAGAGGGGAGCAAGTGTACTTTTTTGGAGCCGTTCATACGGTATTGAGCATCTTGGAGACAGATCCACAGTTCCGAGACACGACTGAGGTGGCAGTGGCCTCGAGGACGACGGAGCCCAAATGGGCCAAGACCTGTATGCGTCTCATGGACGTGGATATCAGGGGCGTGTCTTCGAAGGGTGTCAAAGAAGAAGAGGACGAAGAAACGGAAGAGAACGACGATGAAGAGGACGAGGAGATGGAGAAGACGTCGCTGCAGAGTATTGTGGACTACGAGGCCATTTATCCGCGCAATAAGCGGGTGCATTTTGAACAATTGAAGAAAGACAGCGGCATTCCGTACGAAGACATGCTCTTCTTCGATAATGAGTACGGTAACGTGCACGATATTCAGAAACTCGGTGTCACGTGCGCGTATTGCCCCCAAGGACTCACAGAGGGGTCGTGGATCCAGGGAATGGAGGCATTTCAAGCTGCCAAGCGAAAGTAAAGCAATGAATTAGAACCTTGTACAGACTCATTGCAATATATTCGCATGCTACCATACTCACTGCATAGTTGAACATCAGCATGCAGAGCACTTGCAGCCCCACCTCCAAAAATTGGTAACTTTACATACCTATTTTGGTTTATTTACGTATCAAAAATGACCAATTTTTGTGCCACGGCTACTTAGGCAAGTATCTAGCTACTTTATTGAGACAGCGCAATTTTCCATTTCAACTAGCATAACTGGTCACGATGACGTCGACCCGGCACGTCTCGCGGTGGCGGCTATGCCGTCCACCCCTGGAGCCCAGAAACTCTGAAACTTCCACTACCTCTTCCTCATACACCGCCGAAACTATTGCAACAGTTTCACCCTCTACGCCTCCTGTGTCGCTGCGCTATCTCAACGAGTTCGTTGGCAAATTGCACTGCGCCCCTGCTCTACTGCAGCACGGCTTATTCCCGGACGCGAAGGAGGTGACAGAGGTAAGTTCCAATCTTTTGAAGTATTACTACTGCAAAGTTACGACTAGATTTTAATTGCTGTGGGATATTCAGAGCATGGCGCTGTTCAATGCCGTTCGACGATACATTGAGCCCAAGAACAAAGGAGAAAGTTTGAAGGAGAACGGCAAGCACGATGGAATCGTCGTGGTTGGAGATGGCAATACTCGTGAGTCTTGCAGTACAATGGAGTTATGAATAATTCTTAACTACGGTAACATTTTTTTTTTTTTTTAACAGTGCGTACCGCTGCCATGTTTGCATTCCGGATGCGAGGATGGAAGTGCTATAGTGTGGATCCAGCGATGGAAAAGGGATCAAATGAAGTGAGTTGTTGTAGAGTTTTCAGATATTTGAAAATGATTCTGATCGTTTCGTGTTGTGGCTGCAGCGTTCAAAGGGCTGGGCGGATGTTTCCAACTTGGTCACTGTGCGTAATAAAATTGAGAATGTGCGGATTTCATTAAGGCGAGCGATTGTGGTGTTGGTACACGCGCATGTGACGCTGGACCAGGCTCTGAGCGCTGTACAGGCAGAGCAGGTGTGTGGTGTGGTCACTCTGCCGTGCTGCAACTGGTACGGCCAGCAAGAAATACTCTTTGGACGTGGTCCAGACCTCGTGTACGACGACTTCAGTGTGCTATCCGATCATCGCGAGGTACTCTGTGCATTTATTGTCAACGACTATTGTGACCACTCTCACTTTTCCCTTTATTTTTATTGTTTAGATCCGTTTGTGGGTTGGCGATAACTCAACACCGGAAGGTGGAAACTTGAACGTCTCTCACGCTGATTTTTCGTTGGCTTCGAGTGTTATGAAGGGTTGTGTCCGCAAGGAGCTCGTGGAAATGAGCGAGGCTGCATCTGGATCCACAGATGTCGAGAAACAATCAGATGACGTGAAAAATCGTGATGGAGTGCTCGATTTTATTGGCGATACACTGAAAGAACTTGATCGCGATGTTTCTTCGATGAGCCAGGAAGAGTTGATGGCTGAGGAACAGACCATCGGTAGCAGTTTGTCATCCGCTGTTGCGTCTCATCTTGACGTGGATACTCACGTACTGGCACTTGGCTGGCATCCTCACCGCTTAGCCGTACGGTTATTGCTGCGCGATGGGTACAAAAATGTCTACACCGTTTCGTTAACTGACGAGCTATCGCTCAGTATTAACGATGAACGAGGCACCAAGAATCTGAAACTGCAGCTCCACAAGTGTACTGTCGACCTGGATACCGAACGTGAAGATGAGAGCGTTGTATTTGAGCCTTGTGGATACTTCACTCTCCAATCCTCCTTCGCTTTGTATTCTAGCGAAGAAGAGGAAAAGATCACCGTATCGTTCGATAATGATGGGCACCCAGCTCCCCCACTAGCTTGCGTTTTAGACGCAGGCTTCATCTTCCGAGGTTTCCGTGGTCGTGCCAAGAAAAAACCGTCATTCTTCCGTCATGTGTGCCGCACTCTAGACCAGTTTTTACGTCCTGAATCCAGCATCCGAAATGCTTCTCTTATTTGCCTTACGCCGCGCAAACAATGGCGTAAGAAGGAGTTCTTAGCGCACGTCGATCTGGGGTACGATGTGCAGTCTTTCATCGCTACAAGGAAGCAGTTGCAAGCATCTCCTGTCTACGTCTACTGTTGCTACAAGCTCCAAGAAATGGCCACTGTACAGCCCACTGGTGTTGGCGCTAAAGACAGCACCATGGCCGCTCGTGACGATGCATTAGAGACCTGGTTAGAGCTGGAGAAGGAACTTAAAGCTCGACAATCCGAACTTGATGGCAATCTCGTAATTATTGACAGTCCTGAGGCTCGCGTGAAAGCCGCACAAGATCAAGAGCTGGCAGCGCGAGATACTACAACTGAGCCGAGAAAAGTGTACGTACAAGTTGTGGGTGAAATCACCCGTGTTCGTCGGTTTAGTAATGGTATGGCCTTCCTTTCGTTGGAGCTAGCTGGAAGTGGATACGGCAGGCCACTGCAGGTTTTCTTACAGCGTGATACGCTGAATTGGTCTCCAGAAACGTTTACAAAGTTCATGACTTTACTTCGAAAGGGAGACGAGTTGCTTGCGGTTGGATTCATGGCTCGCAATGCCCGTGGACACTCCATGCTGCAAGTGGAAGCGCTGTCTTTGGCCCGTACAGGAGAGTACGAA